TAAACCCCTGGGAAGTCTAGGGAACCCAAAGGACACAAAAATGCATCACACTTACTTTACACTTCATTAAGTGCAAAATGTATGCTATTTAATGGCGCACATAGAAAACTGTTGTCAGAATCTCACATTTTGTAAGCCCCTGAAACTGAAATATCGATTGACGGCGAAACATCAGCCTCTCTGTGGTTCACGGTAGCGACTAAACCGGACGATTTACTCCTATATCACTCGTTCATTGCAGTATGTATTCGGTCGACCGTGATAAAGACCTAAAATTAATTTTTATTTCTACGGAATATTCTGTGATAGTAACACTATTTTCAAGAGAATAACTTTTGAGTTGCGTTCCTCTTAAGGCAAAATGAGAGAGATAAATAGTGCAGTCATAATCCTTCGCATTTGCTTGTATTTGTTAAATGAGAGTTTAATATATACCATTAGTGACAATGTTTTCCCTGCAGTCATTTGTCAAGGTTTTCTGTAAAAAAGTAAATGGAACTTTCGTCATTCGTATGGCCCGATGAGGCGAGGCGGTACTTCTTTCCCCACTAGGAATGACTTAATTGTACTTCTGGAGTTGTATTAATAGGTTACTTAGGTTAATTAATAATTTACCTATTTTTGAAATTTTGTCGATTTCTTCCATTTACCCTCTTCTTTTCTCCTGCCACTGTTCTCGATCAAGCGTGAAACACATGCCTGCAAGCCTGGGCAACTCGAAGCCACGGTCGTGTTATGTCAATCTGAGGAAGCGGAGGTTTCAGGGTCATGTAGTGTTAAAAATATAAACGAGAAAGGAAGATGATACCGGTCAAGATTTTTGATTTTTACATTGATGTCGCATGGCGTTCTTCCCTCATGAGGAATCACTTCCTACTTCTATGACATTCGATTCCCTTTTAAGACAGCTTTATGTACGTGTATATGATGTACCCTTCTTGAAAACTATATTCCCGACATCTCTGATGCCATTTCAATATTCCAATGTGAATCCACAAGAGTATTTTGTAGACACAGCGTCACGAGTAAAACAACTTGTATCAAGATTACAAAGAAATGATCGTTAACCACGTATGAGCTTATATAAACTTTAGTTACGATAAAAAAGTGAATAATTTCAATTATTCTTTTAAAACGTGATTTTTCATTGAATTTTCCTATTTTAGGATAGCCTGCCTTTTGGGGTAAAATTAATGCCTGAACTACCGAGCTCTAATAATGGGTTTTACTAGTGATGGCTGGAATGTGTTATTATGGACAGAAATTAGTCGGCGTCCTTGACCGAATAGCTTCACTATGCTCCACGAAGTCATGGAAATTAAGCAATTTGAGAGACATCACGGATTCCTACGGGGATGACCGTCTGGGAATCTGTTACTAAAGGCACCGAGCTCCTGGCCGAAGGGATAAAAGGCTGCTGAACGAAGCATACATAACACCCATCAAGGAGGATTTCTCCAGGCACTCAGTGTCCATAAAGGGCTTAGAGAAGTGTTGCAAAGACGAAATAAAAAACAAAAATCAATTAAAAATTAAAAACAGCAAAACATGAGAAAAACATTTCAAAACCGTTTGTGGTACAAGCAATTTCGTGTTGTAGTAGCACTAGTTTCAGATAGGGAAAATATTCACATTCAGCCTTAATTCAAGATAGAATTCAGCAATTTTTGGATAGTCTAACATAGGAGAAAATGTTAAGCAAGAAGCAGACCAGTAGAGAAGCACCATCACAATCAATTGAAACTTAAAACTAGAAAGCAAACATAAATCAAGATATGCCACTTTGGGGAAAAGCTCATTAATTGTTTCATTACAAATAACTAGACAATAATTAATAAAAAAATTTAAATTTGCTGCAAATGAAAAATTCTCCATAAGTAAACGTCAAGCTAGACCTATAGATCTCTTCCCCACATCATGGAAATAGTCATTCCACCTCCACTATTAACGATCACCCCATCTTACATTCTGTTACAGCTTCGAATTTTTTAAGATAAGCCATTTTTCAGAAGCAACTTTAATAAATGCCATGTTTTGTCTCTGTGTGATTTGACAAGGTGTTCGACGAAAACCCACCTATGTATTTTCCCTATTTCCACTTAAGTCCAAGACAATCAAACAGTAATATGAGGATATCTTTCCAGATGAAAATTCCTTCAGTAAACAGAAGCTAAACTAGTTTTATTTGCAGTGATTAAAAACTGTTGGGTGACTATGAAAAAATTTCTACTTCAATAAAAGATGTTACAAACAGGTTGAACATAATGTAAGAAAAAGAAAGAGTTTAGCATTAACAACCCATGCCACTAGTTAATAACGCTGTCCATTCTATTGCATCAGTATGATAACTGGCAACTGATTAATTCAGAGAGCTTCAAACAAACTAGTGCTACAGAATGGCACAGACTTTCCCGCCTTAGTTTTGTATTTCCTTTGGTCTCGTCTAGCTATTAGAACTTGCCACATATTCGTCTGCTGCCACCTATTGCCGCTCAAAGTACATTCTTTTTGAAATTTTCTTAATTTTTCGGTTTTCATACAGTAGAACAGAAATATTATTTTAAGGATTTTAAAAAACAGTAAAACCTCATTCTAAATTCTCTCATTCTTGCAATTTTCTTGAAAAAATTAGTCATTTGCAAGAAAATGGCACTTATACATTACAGTCAATTTGAAATTTGAAGCTCTTTTTTCACAGAAAATTTTTGAGTTTTCAAAAAACTTCATTTGAAGCACTTTAACTCACAAATACAACAGTGTTTACAAATTGCTGGAAATGTGCATATCAACGGTGTAAGAGATCTTTAAAAAAAAAATACAATTGTGTAATTTTTGAAAAACAAAAAAGTACCCCAAAATGAACTTTACCTCATATATTAAAGAGTGAAATTAGCACAATACTTTCAAAAAGTTGGAGCATTTTTGAGAAAATGGAGTTTGAGCATTTCTGAAATTGCGACATTTTGAGCCAGCTTTTACTGAAAACAGTTCAGTTTTAGAGAAGCTTTATGACACTATTTAAAGCACAAGTACTCATAAATATAATAATGTGAACAATGCCGCTTGTGTAAATATTAACAATGTGAGAGACAAGTCAAAAAAATTAAATTTTTGCAATTTTTGAAAAAAAAACAAAAGAATAGAGCAATATGTCATTTATGTCATTTCATAGAGTGCTTTTAGCACAATCCCTATTAAAAGTTTAAAGAAAATATTTGGAGCCGTTTTTGAGAAAATCTTGTTTTTGTAATTTTTTAAAATTGCACACAATATCGCGAACCTACTAAAATTTCAATGTAATGTTCATGACATTAATGAAAGAACAAATTTTATTTGAAGGAAATATGCATCTTTAATTTTGTAGTTGTAGGAAGACGCTGAAAAAAATTCAAAATTTTGAAAATCATACCTATGCCACTTTTGTAAGTTTACTTTACTCTATCCTTACAATTTAAAGAAAAAGTTTGAAGCCATTTGTGAGAAAATTTTGAAAATGTTCTAGGGGCTTCACGTAAAGTACCCCCCCTCAAAAAAAACTAAATGATTTTCAAAATTGCAAACTTCAGCTCAGGCCAAAAGGACACAGGTTCCTTCAATTTGTTAAAAATTCTATGCATGGTATAGGCGCTAGTGTTGTTCACATACACGAGACAGACTGACAGAAGAATGTAAGTTTTGAGGAAAAAAAAAAAAACACTCTTTTGGTATCAGGGGGCCCCTAAACGTGCATATCCTTTGATATTTCGAAATTGATTTTTTGCAGCATTACACAACTTTCCCTATACTACATATATTACTCTATATATACATACATATACAGGAGAGGAAAAATCATGAAAATGTTCCTTATTTCTTGCCTTGATTTTCATGTTGATTAATCAAATAATAAAACTTCCTGTGAATGTGGTAGTGGAAGAGAAATACAAGGGTTCACCTCCCCCCTCCTCACATGAAAGGAATGTTGTCCCCTCTCCATGGTCAATGAGAATCTTTCTCAGCCATTGAGGGGTAACAAGTTTACAAACGAGATAGGAGACAAGCCGCTCATTTGCATACACAATGGAAAGTTAAATAACAAGAACATATCCACATTGGAAAAATCCTCTCACGGATGTTATTTGTTTGCCACACAGACATCTCTGAATTTTGTTTCCTTTTGTATCAGTAATTTCACTCACTTTGTCATTTCTTTTTTAAACCCATTCTTTGCTAGAACAAATAGCAATAAACTTAATTCATAAAATTGCATTAAAGAAGATGTTAAGCAACTATTTTGAAGTGTTGTATTGTTCTTGTGGCAAAGACACTAGTAATGGAGACTTCTTGAAATATTTTTCGGCATGTTTTATTTGTTACCACACAAAGGTAAGCACATCAAGTCATTTGAAGCAAATATTTGAAAAATAAGAAATTGAGAATACACATTTGCTTCAAACTTGCAGAATGTGGAGTTTGTGCCCTCTAGTGGTGAAGTGTAATGTGAGTCTCTCACACACTTTTTATAAGTTTAAAACATATTAATACTGGAACTGCAATAATGAACACAAAATAGTACTTGTTTGGACTTGGAAAATGCCTCAAACACGCTCAAGGGATAGAATATCTAAGAACCATTACCAAAATTTTGCAAAGTTCAAGTATCAAACGAATCCAAATCAGGGTTTGGAAATAAATTAACAAAAAAATAGAACACATTGAAACTTGGCCATTTTTGGGCAAGGGATCTATTTAAAAAAATATGCTACTCACCCATTATTTCACATAATGAATTTAGAAGTGGCCAAAGAATTTTAAGAAAACTACAAACATGCTCTTAACTAAGGCAACTACAGGTACTTTTACCCTATTTAATATTGTACAAACATAAGAATTGAAAATTAGGTATCAAATGAGATGTTCGATGAATATCTGATGGATATTGAAAATGAAGTTTTCATTTGGTTCACAATGGAAGGAAGCCCAATATATTACACATAGTATTGAAATAAAAGTGATAATTTTACATTTTATTTCAATATTGTATTTCTATTCCTAAAGTCCATATTTTCACAAATCCATCAATGCCTCCGAAATGCAAAAAGATCTATAGAATAAATTTTGTAGTGCATCAACAAAGTAATGTCAGCAATAGCTTCTTACATGTCATAATATAATCCAATGAGTCAAAAATGTCAATATTTTCTCCAAAGGAAAAACAAATAAGCCTATGAAGTAAAATGAATGAAGTCTCTAAAATAAAATGAATAAAGAAGTAATGGAGAAAAATCATTTCAGAATTGTTCAAAACAATAACACTCAACATTGTTTATTTTGACACATTACCTTACAATATAACCTCTTCTTCGAATGAAATATTTATCTGTACACAACATATGAAACTGAAGAATGTTGTAAATGCCTCAGTACAAATTAGTAAACATTTAACAGAAATAATTATAAAAGAGAGCAGAAAAATGTACAAGAAAAACTGTCAAAATATTTAAATGAAAATTTTCAACATTTTATATTTGCAATCACAAATTTAAATATGATTTCTTACAGCATAACCCACTTTGATGCGGTCCATCCAGCTCACTATATTACAACTTTCATACAACAAGAAGAACGATACAGCTATACAGACTCGCATTTACTACTGGCAAATACGTTATTAACAAGTGAACATCACAAGTTAAAGTAATTGCTTTCTTGCATACTTCTCCGAGAAGAGCTAGCAAAACAGCATATTTCTAAAAGACATTTCAGAAACTTGCAACATTCAATACACCCTATGAGGATCGTGATAACCACAGAACAGTCTTGAGGAAGAAGTACGCCAGTCCCAAGGCACACAAGAATTTTTCTCGTTGCTGCCGCTGCAGGTTGTCCAACTCTATGGCCATCACCCGCCGATTCAATTTTGCCATTTGTTTACGCAAGTGCAACACTTCTTCTGCTGGGGAAAGGCCCTCCCCGCCTGCACCAATGGGTGGGGTATCCCCTCTGCAGGCACACAAACAAACACACACTATTACACACTTCTATTACCCAGGAATCACTAGTCACTGACAAGTGCAAACTACAATTTTCAGCTTGAACATAACAAGTTTATTTATTTTTTAACATTTACACATTACGGCATGTAACGTTCCACAATGAATAAATCACCTATTCAAGGGGCACACTTCGCAATGACAGTACAAATATTTGAGATCTCTCCAGACATCATTCAATAATTACACAACCCACACTCCTGCAACACAGTAGCTCAAAGGTGTATCTTGGATATCTCTTTTCACCTTCTTTCACAAACTTCAGAAAATAATATTAATTATTGAGATTCTATAGGTACAATAGTACTCGACTGTGAATCAAATGATCCACAGAGCTGTAACACTGAGCTGGTTCCCACTAGAGGCGAATTAATAAACAAGCAGACTAAAGATTTTTACAAGTTAATATTAAACCATTTTTGAAAGAAATGTATATTTGTTCATAAAGACTTAAAATACTTTAAAATGAATTTTTTAAATTGCAAAGTTTACAATTTATTTGCAAATTAGGGAGCCTTGATCTGGTCCTGCTAAGGACCCCTTAAGATATTAATGTAGCTGCTTTCAACAAAGACAGAAGCATCTACAAATCAAGCATTTGATGCTCCTTTGTACCATAGATACAGACACACAGGTCAATGGCATATTATCATCATTCAAAATATTTACGGACTTAAGCCTAATTGTGAGTTCATTATCATAGCTTACTAAAATAAAATTAAAAACATACAATTTAACAGAAATGTCAACAGGCATTTGTATTATAGGAGTCTACAATTTAATTAGAATAACAAGGTATAAGACGTCTCGAGGGAAAAAACAAATAACAACCAGGAAAGGCATACTGTGCAGTAAGCCAATTTCTCAGAAAAACCGGAAGTAACAAAACACTAAAAACAAAGCAATTAAACAACACTGTCCTGGGGTAAATCTACATACAAACATCTACATACAAACAGGTCCATAAAAAAGGAAGAATTTGCCATCTTTGATGGTTACCCTTGACATTACCTTGCAAGCAAGCGATGATCAGTATTGAATTTTGACTTTGGATGAGGTAAAGAAACAAATTTTTCCTCTCTATCAGGAATAGTGGGTGCATCATCAGCAGATGGAAATGAATATTCATCCAAAGTAATAACTCGAGGTGGAGTCTGTAAAAAAATATTTATGAATTATTGTCTATAAACAAGCAATTACACAGGCCTGCAAAATTTAGGTTATCAAAAATTGTTTGAGAAATTTTAGCTGTAGTATATAGAAATTGCTGATTTCAAATATAAGATACATACTTTTCAATCGCATAACATTTTTCCACAAAGTGTATTTGAGTATATGGAAAAAGAATAAATATGTTTAGTTGTTATAGAAACATTTGTGAAAAGAAGTTAAACGGGTCACATGCAAAATTTTAAAAGCAAAAATTATTCAGAGAATACACTGACTATATTTTGTGGTACCACTTCTGTTTCTCACCAAAGCTCCGACCCATTTACCCTGGTTTCTGCGTTCCATTTTTTTGACATCTTGATAGAATATTTCACCTTGTTCCTTCACTAACAGTGTCGACATTTTGAGGAAAGTTTCCAAATGAAAATGTAGGAAATAAATCTTCATGCTCATTGAACAGCCTTAATCTTTGAATATCATTAACAATGCCCACATGGACTTTACATTTGTGTGCTTATAGTTTCCAAGAAATTTTTCCACATCTTTAAATGCTGTTCAAGCCTCTTTCTCAAAAATTCCTATTTTTGTTTCAAATATTTCATCATTAAAGAGTTTCTGTAAACACTCTCTTATACTTTAGCTTCTGACAATACAGAAAATTTGCAGCGCAAGTAATGACAACCCACTCCTTGCAGCTAGATCTTCACAAATTGTTTTATTAGTCAAGAGCTTTATAAGAAGTGTTAAAAGGAGTACATTTCTTTGATCAACCAAACTTTCTTGTAAAATATTTGTGCTTCCAGGTTCTAAATTTATCCTAGATTCTCTCTTCATTCAGTGCTCTGCTATTCCATAAACACAAGAAGCTGGGGAAATTAGTAGAAATTAGCTTCCATGCTGTCCAAGAAGCATGGTTATTACTTTTAGATCACTGCATATAATCCAACCGTAATAATTATATTTTATTTTGGAGAGGATAAATGCCAACTTCTCATAGCTTTCTTTCATATGCATAGAATGTCCTACAAGTGTTGACTGTTGCCATTGCAAAGTACTTCTTTGAGACTTCTTCCTGATGACTTAATAAAGAACCTCTTCCATGTCATACTGTACTTTAAACTCAAACAGTTCATTGATATCACACGCACTACATCAGATCATTGTCTTGAGAAAAGTAAGGTATAAAATTTCTTTCTCTATGACTAAACCATAGTCAGGCAGAAGAGCAGGCTAAAAGGCCTGAGCCTCGACACCAATAAAGACATTTATTTATTTTTAAACCATGAGAAAGAGGTACCAGGAACCAATATGTTATTTTCTTTTAACCTACAACCAATAGTTCTGCTGAATCTTTAGAAAGTAAGGAGCGCATCCAGAGACAAATTTTGGGAGGGGAAATTCAAAATGTTTTGGTTGAAGATGTCACATTACAGATTTTGTTAAATGTTGTACACTACACTAGCTTATGCTGCTATACAATTTTATTCGTTTGAATGATTATCTGAAAATATTTTTACTTTAAAGATTCATGCAGAGGAGAGGGATTTCCATCCCCCTGGATCCGCACCTGAGAAAGACCTAAGTCTCTAAGTCATTTAGTGCTCGTGTGAAAATAGTTTGGACTCTGGAGCGTCTGTAACTACAAGTTTTTCATCACAGTTTTCAAATTCGTTGCCAATGCCACCCGGGAAATTTTCTAGTTTGATCTGGGGGTGATGGTACAGGAATAACTGGTCGAGATGCAGGGCATCTTGCTGACCAAACGTTAGGATATACTGTCTTTCTTATTTTTTAGATCGTACCCAGCTACATTACATGAACAGAAGTAACAGTTAGTACTCTTATTCGTGGGCTTCATCCATAACATTCGAATTCCCAAAAGAATGAATAATGTATGAATGATAAATTTTGTTTATAAATTCAGTAATGTTTCTTTGTTGTTTCTTTACAACATATTCTCCAGAAATATAACAAAAGTTGTCAGGTGACCTACAACAGCCTCTTGAGGTCATTGGTTAACTAATTGTGTAATACACCTTCAGAAAATAAACTCATTACGATTAGAGGGCAACAGTATATCATGCAAAGAAATCTATACCAAAATAACAGTCACTCGATTTCTAATGACAAAGTACAGATGTGAACAACAAAGAAACTACAGTTCTACAATAACAATCTAATTTGCTATAAGTAAAAATTCTCCACAGTTGGAACAATCAAGAACAGAAGTTCCAATGTCATGATAGAGAAATGTATTTATTCTCGGAACCTTAAATGAAAATACTTCGTTGTGTGAAAATGATGAGTGATGGAATTTTTTCATTAATTTTTCTTAATCTAAGAAAGCCCAAGTAAACAATGCCTTGTAATTTTACTTGGTTTATTTAAAGTACTGTATATTGATATCCTAAACAGCATTCCAATTAAGACAAACTTACTTTTTTTAAATTTTAAGCTTACAATTAACTACCATATCTAAGACGTTAATATGCAATATTTGAAATTGCATTTTTTCAATGCCTATGGTTGCTCATTGAATTAGTTGAACAGGATTGACTAGCAGCACCAAAAAAATAAGTAATGAAAAGGGGGAGAGAAAATGGCAACAGAAAAGAAAAGCAGAATCAATAACAGAATCCTTTCATCTCTGCGACTGGCTCAAAACAAAATTAACATCAAAACAGCTTATTTCCATCTGCGCATGAATTATTAAGAGAATATTGTCATCAATTTAGTATAACCAAGGACCAATGTTTAAATGCAGTAAAAAGTAACAGGATGTAGCTCACCTAATCTAAAAAGTAATTTGCAAAGACAATAAGATTTAAAAACATCATAAAATCAGCATGAGAAAAGGGTTCACCATCAGAGGAAAATGTAGTTTCAAAGTAAACAATTTACACATTTTTGTAAACAGAGGTAAGTTACAGAAATTTTGATATTCAACAACCGAAGCAATGTAAATATGTATTTCATTTTTTAAATACTTTAAGTTTAAGTACAAAGGAGTAGTATTACAATAACTGTAATAGAACATGCAGTAAAAATAATGGTAAAAAAGGGACTGAACAGAAACATTCAATGCTATACAAAACCAATGGAAGGCTTGAACCACAAAATATTGCAATATTGGAGATCTCTCATCGAAGAACAAACAAAATTGTGTATTAATTAGCTAGTAGTCCAATCCCACATAAGATTTTACCCTTCCACAAAGATAAAGGGGTCATGTACTCCTGGTTTATGGACAACTCTAGAGAAGCATTTTACTTTGGGGCATTATTTTGAGACGTTTCTGAAAGTTTTACAACTGCAAATAACAAAAAAAAGTGATCAATTTCTAACAACATTTGTTACAAACCAAATTAATATTTGTGTTAGAACCTGGTTCAGAGAAAACTACATTCCTAATTATTACAAAATGTTTGATTTGCAGACTTGTGGTATTATTCTCCTTGAAAAAATGCACACAAAACTGTGATACCATTACTATTAAGGCAGATAGATATTCACAGTACTGAGCATTCATTATGCAATTCTTCAGAAGAAATTTAGTCTGATGTTCTATAACCTCATACATAATGCAGATAGGATAATGCAGCAACTCAAGGATATTTTAAAAGAGAAATCATCATACATGTATTACTTTAAAATTAATTTCAGCAGAGATAAACATCACATTTACTTGAAATATTTAAAAAATCCAAATAATAATGAACTAATATTATAATACTGGTAAAATGTTTTTCCCAAATAAACTTATCATTAATTCACCATTTCATTCATTAATCGATAAAATGAATGACTGATATTTAAAATGAATTTGCCAAAACCAACACAGTAATTCCCTTAACACAATACATAGCTTAAAAATTCATTAACATTTTTAAGAAATGTTCATAGGTCAGAAAATGTGTAGTCATTTATATAACTGTTAAAATTATTGATCTTGGTTTAAAATAAATCCAGTTGCACTCTCTTGCTACTTACTTGTACTCTGATAAGTCCTGGATCAGGAGGCATTACAGAATTTTCTAAGATAAGCTCCCTAGGAGGTGCTCTGGTCCCAATATGCTGCTCTTGTCCTGAAATGACAATCCGTTGTTATTGCTACTTGACCTTGAACAACACATTTTAATGTACACCTACAAACTTACCTGCAACTAAAATCCTATCAGGCACATGCATTTCAAATTTGTCAGGTACAGGACCTACAGTAGGTGCTGTTACATCATCTCCACTTCCTCCCACTTTGATTCGTTTTGGAACTCTCATTTTCTGGCTAATATCTGCTGTAAAATTCGGATCGTAATAATGATCCATTCCTTCACCAAATCGCTGAGGACTAGTCGTTTTCGACATCTACAATAATAATGCAACGCCTCAGAACCACATTGGAAAACCAAGGTAATGGCTTTTTTCCAACAATGTCAACTTCTACTTACCGTTTAGTACTACGCAACACTTCGATAAAACCCTATTAAGTCAGCAAATATGCAAATGTCAATCCGAATACAACGAACCCCGAACAGCAAGTAGACGACTCGAATTATACTCTTATCAACTCATTTATCAAATCCCTACTCTTTAATCGCAATGTTTAAACCGTTCGAGCTAAAACACATGTGCAACTTTTTGATAAAAAGTAAACATTACAGATTCTACTTCATTATTAAGACTTTGCCATCCACAGCAGCGGCTCCAAGCAGTGTTTCACGCAACGTTCGAAGGGTTCAGAATCAGTTGAACCAGAAGTTCAGCTGAACCACAGAGTGTAAAGAACATGCAGTCGCCCAGAACGTGAAAAGGGCGTTGACTCTAGCGCATTCTAGAGAGCATTTAATGAAGCAAAGAGTAGAAGCCATCATAGAATATAGAGCCTATTCCAGCGTTTCTAGCCCTTTCTTGCCCTTACTAGCCTGAGGCCTGCCCCTCCATGAGCGTAACAAAATCCAACGGAGATAAGCAGCAAAAGCAGCAACATAAGACAAGACTTTTCGAGGAGGTATAATAAATTGGGTTTTCCAGCAGTGAAGAAACTAAACATAGAAATTAATTGAACACACAAAAGACCATTGTTTCTTTGTGTGTTACAATTGAACGAATGTAGTGCTGTTAAATTGTGACACGAAATACTAAATTTTTTTTTTTTTAAATATACCACAGCATACAGTTTAATTTGTTCAACATGAACTGCTAGAATAATGAAAGCACATTCAGGAGCGGGCACATTCAGGCAGATATTTTCTTTCTTTTCGCACGTACTTATTAACCGGAACAGGATAGAACGCGCATTTATTTTTTCGATGTTTGTTACATTTTAGATGTTTCTACAATTTTCTTATGTTTCTCTTTATTATTTTTCCTGCACTTTTACCATTTTAAGTTTTTTCTCTAGGCCTTTTGGGTAGAGGCATGCGTCCTCCCCTGCAATCACATCAGTAACATATATAACAGCTTGAGTTACGTAAATGAATTTGTTTTGATAAAAAAATGTACGTCACTTTTCTTTTACATAGAGCTTATTAAAAAAATTAAATTTTTGGGAGTACTTTATGTGAAGCACCTAGGCCATTTTAAAACTAATTTGATTGTTATTTTTGAAAAAATATTTTCAAGAAAATGGCTTCATCATTTTTTATTTCTTTGTTATATACTGTGAAGGAGGTTTAAGAGAATGGTGCTGACTTTATGTTTGTTGAAACCTTTTTTTTTAATTGCAAATATTCAAAGTTTGTTAGGAGTCTTCCTGCAACTAAAATATTAAAGATAGAGATTTTTCTCTTAATGAAATCTGTTCCATAAAGATAGATTTGAAAATAGGACCGTGAACAATTTTTCGAAAATGTTAGTACTTTTCGCGTAATTTCGCGTGAAAATACGGGCGAAAAATAACGTGCTGTTTTACCACCACAAGTTATTTATAAGTTTCGTGAGAAGTTAAAATAAAAAGTTACTGAAATTGTTTTCGGGGGGGGGGGGATTTTCGTTATCCCCTCTTCATGGATCCGCGACTGGCACATTTAGTATGAACGTGATTAGATCAAACTCCCGGAAACGCGCAGTTAATTGTCAACTCTGGCGGATCCAGGGGAAAGGCATGGGGGCAATTTTTCCCATTGAAAAGGCCTAGAATTTTCATTTTCATTCCTTTATTTGGCAAAATTGAATTCAATGTTTATTTATATTCGAATTACGTAGTTATTTAAACAATATTGTATAATGTCGACAGTACATAAATAATATACAATTTAATAATAAATGTTTATGATTTAATAAAAATCTACGATGGCGCCTTCCAAAATAATGGACTGGATCCGCCCCTCATTGTCAAAAAGCAAAGACTAACAAATACGGTCCAGTACTGTAGTCAGTCAGCGCCCTATTGTGCTCAGTGCGAGGGAGGTGCACACCCGAGAGACGTGCGTAGGCATCCTTCAACTGTCAGGTATATTCATCTCCCACGCTCGTAGTTTTGGTTTTGATGTCCAGGGTTGCATAAGCACTATTGTTTGGGTCCGTTTTATACAAATAAAAGTATTTTATTTCTAAAACGTCACTTCCGCAACGAACGCTAGCAAACTGCTGGCCGGCCAGCGGCAGGCAGCCTGGCTTCCGCGAGACACTAACTAAGGGACTTCCATCCAGAACGGTCACCTTTACACAAAGAACTCATCAAATGTACGTTTTGAATCAACAAACCTAATATCAAATGAAAACAAATTTCCCAATGATCATAAACAATGCATACCGTCAATAATTGACAGAACTAGTTTACTTTCAATAACCATTCTGGTATTCAATTCCAATCTGATATTTCCCGAAGACTAACAAATGGAACGCGGGAAAGTAGAATTTGCAAAATACGCAAGACTATTCATATTTTTTTAAAAACAGCATGGCCTTTTTTTAAAAAAAAAACTGAATTTACTTTCTCGCAACTGATTACGGAGTAACAGCAGCAGTAGCAAATCATTATTATCCATTATCCTTGAAAATTCCATTTTCCTCGTCTGAGATGAAATCCAAGAATTTTTCATTCTTGCCATCGCAACACCGGTGATGACTGGAACAAATTAGTGTGAAACATAGAAATGTGTGAATTGTACAGTTACAGAGGTGGCCTAATATTTTTCTCTGACTTAACCGGTTACAATGAGTGCTGAGAAGCACCTGAGAAAATTAACTATTTGAAGTAGAATGTTTGTTAATGTTATTGGAAATATATACAAAGTTAATGATGCAATGAAGTACGACCAATGCTTAGAGGCCATATAGAGCCAACGGTTCTCTCACATCAATGAGTTGTTTGAAAAAAAAACAATGACTATGCTTCCTATCACAACAGGAAAGAAAGTTGTGAAATATCTTCAAGACATTAATCAGCCTGGGTTTCAAAAGGCTGCAAATAGGTACCCCTGACATGAATCCCATCGAAATTTTTCTTTCGATAGTTAAAAGAAACTTAAGAAAATAAGTCCATAAACCAGCTTATAAAACAACTCATTCGCATCTCGCAAAATGACATTCAAATTTAAAAAATTGATTAAAAATTGATTTTCAAGGTACCTTAGAACAAGTATGTTAATTATGAAATGTTTATAAAACAGAACCCTGTATATAGAGTTTGTCAGTATCTACAGTCTCAAATACACTTTGTCTTATTCAATAACTTTAGTCTAATAATTTGACCACCTCTGTACGTATTACAGTCCCAACCATTGGTCACTTTTAAATAGCGCGCTTCTAATTTAAACTTCATTTCACCGACACCAGGTGTGCAACTATCGTCTCGGAAGGTCACCAACCTTAACGAAGGTAATTTGCTACCTGCTTCTTCTGTTTTCTTTTTTAGCTTCGTGGGTGCACGCTACAAGTGACTCGAAAGCAGTTTTGCAGCCGTTTTCGTCTTTCCTTGCCCGATAATGGCAGCGCATGTTATGTGTTTAACATCCGCAGGTGGCTTACCTTTATTCACTCGTAAGAAAGGGGAAGGCGATCTAGTAAGTTTTAAAATTTTGTTGAATCTCAAGATTGCATCTTTAGTTTCATATGCTTGTCACATATCTTACTACTTTTTATCTTCAGAAATAGCTATTAGTATTTTTTTTGGGACGCGTTTCCTAGCTAGAAAACCACGCGAGTTCAAAATGGTAAATAAATAGTAAAAATAATCGTTGAGTTTCAGAAATTGGCAACATTGTTTAGAATTGCATCTTGAATTGTGCGCACGAGGTGTACGCACAGCATTGTTGAAAAGTTTATATTGCACTTCAGATTGATAAAGTATTTTGCAAAAAATCCCCATTTATTTGGTGATAATGAGGGGATTATGGCGGGAATTGCGACACATTGGCAAAGCCATGTTGACACAAGCATAAAGTGTTTCCATTGGATTTATTAATTTTATTTTACGGAAATACATTTTTTTCTTTTTCTCAAATTTCCACTTATTTTATTGATTGAAAAGTGTTCTAGATTAGTATTGGCTAGTGTAATCTTTATACAAGTTACAAAATGCTTATAAAACTTTAATTATCTTTTTTTTTAAAAAGAATTGATTTGTTTAAATGTGTACATAATTATAAAATTAAATTATTTAGATCAATGATTTCTTATGTACTACTGTATACAATAAATGCAGTTGAACATTCCTTATCATATGACTTTCCCCTGATATCTACATCATGCATACAAATATTGAGCTCTACAAAATTTCTTCCATTAGATAACAGGTAAAATAATTTTGTCAATTAACTGAAGTTAAGTAAACCTCTTAGATTGTGAGGTGAATTTATTAATTGTGTCATTGTTATGCATTGTTTATTTCTAAAAGCAGATTTAAGCATCATATGATAGTTACATCTAAGATGACTTTATAAAGATGCTTATATCACTTTTAATTATTTTTCTTCATAAGATTGGTAAATTATTTCATGTTACTTGTAAGTGGTAAGTACCCACTTTTTGAAAACTACGTTATAGAGATTTTCAAACTTAAGGAGTTACCAAAGAAACTATTTTAAAATATAAATTAACATTTAATATATGATGAATTTAACTATTATATTAGTAAATTATTATTCACTAGAAACTCATTTGAATTATGAAGGTTTGCAAATACTTTAAGTTTGTAGCATTAACTGGTGCAATGTTAACCCGAAGATAATTTCTCAAACCTAGAGTATCTGATTAAATTGTGGTGAGGTAGCAAACCCATTTAGCAGTTTAACAAAGTAATTAGTGGCCTGTAACTGCAAAAGCTGCTTAACTCCTGGGTGCCATTAAAAAAACTTAACAGCTATGACACAATAGCATTATATAAATATTAGGATTCAAAAAAATTATTCCTACTTCTAAAATACTTTTCTTTTTGTAAACAACTGCAGTGCGTTGTATCCTTGTTCATAAAATATTGTTGTATATACATATTTTGCCATGACTTTTGACATTAAAGTGTTCTAATTTTCAGTTAAAGTAACTACCCAGAAATTGCTCTTTTATTCATATTAATATGTGTTCATGTATCAATGTTCTATGTATTAAAAGGACCATAAGGCAGTGGTAGGATTTTACTATCAATGTTTACAATAAACAATGCTATTATTAATTTAATTTATTATTTTTTTAATTATTAATTTTATAGTGAAAAATATAGAATTAAATTTTACATAAACAGTTACATTTGTAGTATAAAAGGGTTATATCCTTCCATTTTAATTATTGCTTTACTGTGGTCAATTGGTCAACCTGTGGTTCTTCAACACCACATACTTTCTCGTATTATTTATAAATTTGCAAGTTTCGAAAATTCAGAGAGTTCAACGAAAATGAGACCCGCACCATTATTTTAAGCATCTCTTCTTCTATTGGTCGAAAACAAATAGAGAGAATTTTAACGCAGTTTTTGTCAAAAAAGTTTGTTTTTTATTAATTGTCCAAATTTCGCGCCAAATTACACGAAAACTACTTATATATTCGTAATATTGAACGTGAACTTATTTAAATATCTGTCTTTAAGAAACAGATTGCATTAACGAAAATTTCTCTGTCTTTAATATTATAGTTGTAGGAAAACACCCAAAAAAATGCACTTTTGACATTTTTTTTAAATGTGAGATTTTAACGAGCATGTGACTTGCACCATTTTCTTAAACGTCCTTTACGCTCTCTGAAGAGAAAGTTTGATAAAAAATTGGTGTAATTTGTTAGAAAATTTCGAAAAAGTTTTTGAGACTTCTTGTAAAGTACCCTCAAAAATCAAAATATTCATTTGCAAATCCCCTCGAGATCATACAAATCGATTGCGGAATATCAATTTTGAAGAAAATCGGCTGAACGCTTTGACCTAGTGTTGACTACAGACGGGCTGACAGACCTTTTTGCTGTCAATCGATTTTTCGGAATCAAGGACCTGCAACACATGGATTCTGGCTATACTTCGTGTTAGACGAATTATTTTCTATATTTAACAGCAGGGTTTATCTACTACAAGGACCCTGCAAATAAGGGGTTTTCCGCCGAAAATACACCGTTTTTCGGCGCACGATTGCTTACCTTTTCTTACCCATGAAAGATCTACACACATTCGTATTCACAAGAACACACGCAAACTGCTGTCCGGCCAGCTGCTGGCAGACTGGCTTGCGAGGCACAAAAGGGACTTCCATCCAGAACGGCCAACTTGACACAAAGAAATCATTAAATGTACATTTTGCATCAACAAAACCAATATCAAATGAAAACAAATTCTCCATATAAAAACAATGTGTTGAATACAGTCAATAATTGACAGAACTTGTTTACTTTCAATAACACGCGAAATTCTTATACTCGTAATGAAGTTGCATGTAGAGTCAGACGAAAACAGAATATTGGTATTCCCTTCGGACTGCCTCTGTCACCGCCATCACAGTGCTCAGAGACAAGGCCCCACTCATTTGGTTGCGTCACCAAGGGTCGTATTTCACCAGAGATAAAGCGAAGGGCCAGAGACTAAATAGTTTTCCTAAATACAAATTTCTGTAGAGCCAAGAGCATGATGCAATACCTGGGAGGCACCAGACACCTAAGAGAGCGCCAGTTGGACGTTCTTTGGTTTCAAAATGATTTCATATACATCTATATTGCTGCAATATCTTGAATATTGAATGTTATTGAAAGGAAAATATATATCCCTAAGATATTATAAGATATTTTTCAATTATCTGGGGGTTGTGCAACCTAAGCACGAGCCGCCATATCTTTAGTCAGTTCATTGTTTCATAGCTAAATTTGAGCTAACACTGCCTCAAGTTTCCACTATCTTCTTTCTCTTCAGCCGCACCTCGATGCTGAAGGCGGCAAGCCAGTTTCACACCCTCACTTGAAACAGGCGCTGAGCTCTCGGTTTGCACTTGCATAGCGCAAAAAAATTTAGACGCCCAGGAAAAGGTCCACATATGATCGATACAACGCAATTAGTCGATAGTCGGCCCATAAATATCGATAGTAGCACGTGCACCGAATGCGTCCGCACATGACGACTGTATTTGAGCGAACGTAAGGTATCTTTCGGTTATCCATGTAAAGTCCCCGCGGTGGCTAATCGAGGACCAACTTTATTATGTAAGCCTCCTTCCCCTGTGCAAGAATCCCTTGCCTTAATAGGGATTAAACGGGCTAATAATAATAATAATAATAATAATAATAATAATAATAATAATAATAATAATAATAATAATAAAGGTAACTTTCGATAGTTTCATTGTCACTAGGAATCATATTCGATCCTTTACAGTCAACGGCTTGGGGCTTTTAGAGATTTCTAAAAGTAGATTCAACTTTATTTGATATGAACAAAAATAAACGAAATTTGTTCGAATAAATCTATATTGAAAATTTGATTCATTTATCTACATATACAAATATACATTGTTCATATTTTTACAGACTGTAATGGCAGTTTTGAATCGTTTATGCTTCACCTCTCTCACTTTTGCAGCTCCCATTTTCTGTTGTGGCGTCATTGAATGGCGTACACATGTTTGCAAAGACACAAGAGATTGATCTATTGAGTACTGCAACAACAGAAACTACATTTATATGGAAAGAAATGGAGGATAGGTACGTATGTTTGACCTAAGCTGATGGGAGTATTGTTCACTTGAATGCTATTATGTAATAAACTAAATCAGTTTGATTATTTTTATGGTCTGTAGTGTGATAATAATTGCAGCAGCTTGTGGCGTCAGCACGGAATTGCTAGAAATGTTGGTGTCCTCAGTATTCCAGGCGATGATTATGACAGTTGGGATTGAAGAAATTCGAACTTGCCGAAATATCGAGAGGCTTAAAAGAGAATTGCGGGTAATTATTTAGTCTCACAACATTAAATAAATAGACTGAATTTTTTATGAGCATTGTTTTGTAACTTTTACAGGCGTGTTATCCTTTGGTGGATCGTTTGCTGGAGTGTTTAGACACAACTTCACGCGTTGATCTCCTTGGCCTAACTGAAGTTATCTTATGCCATGAAAATATTTCTTTGCAGGTATGTCAATGGGTTTGCTTTAATTTTCAATTCCAAATCCTTTTTTTATTGTTTTATTTTCCATTATTTGTCATTGTTCTAATATTTATAGTACGACAAAAAAACTTTGAAGTCTTAATGCGGGGGAAGATATTTCGTTCCAAGATTGCAACGAATTTATAAAAAAAGAAAATACGAAATGGCTTCTAATGTAGGCACGAAATGATTTTACAAAGAAAATGTTTTAAACTCTTTTTATGTAAAATTTATCCAACTTTGGTTGAGCACTAGTGTGTGAACGAGTGGTAAAAAAATATAAGTATTGTCTGATTCAATGCAGAATTTAATGCGCAACTTTTAATATGACCGTGTTCTCCATAGTATGTGTCTTTTACGAGTTATAACTGTGGAACCACAAAAATACCCCTTTGGCGGTACACTTTTACACCTTCCACTTAAGCGCAACACCGCCGAGAGGGAAAAACCGAGGATAGTTTTATTGGGACACAAATGACGCTCTTAAAACTACGAAACCTTTTGAAGCAATTATTCCCGATTTGTGTTTTAATTCTCCTGGCCTAAGCGCGTGCGTGGGGCGTGCGCAGGCGCTGCTGGACGCGTACTGCGAGTGCCTGGGCTCGCTGCACGGCTGCCTGGTGGCGCGCGGGCGCACCCTGGTGGCGACGGCCAGCTGGTGGGCGCTGCAGCCCAGCGAGCGGAAGCTGCTGGCGCTGCTGGTGGCGGGCGACGGCCAGGCCACGGCGCGCGACGTGCCGCTCTTCCTGCCCTTCACCAGCCCCGCCGTGAGTGCGCCCACGGCCACGCGGTCGACGCCACCACTCGGTTTCACGCTGGCTAGGCCCAAGTCAGCCGCTGTCGAGAGACCGGCTTCTCTGATAGGCAGCTAGTAGCTGGTAGCTGTTCTGATAGGTAGCCGTGGTTGATTCCATCGACACGAGGAGAATGCCAGTGCAGCTCACTAAGGGCCCCTTCCCACGTCGCGACGGCGGTGCGCTTCCGAGCAGCGCGGTGCGTAGCAGAGCATTGGTTTGAATGGAGGCCTTCTCACGTGCAGCGGGTGGCCGATGCTGCGGCAGCCGACGCCGAACTCCAGCCACGCGAAGCGGAGGAGGGCATACGCGCCACGGCTAGCAGTACACAGCTTTAAATGGGAGCCTTCCCACTGCGCCGCCGGTCGCTGCGGTTTACCTGCTGCGGTCCCTTTGTTCGTCGTCACCGGAGGGTCGGCGAAACATACCCGTGCAGAACCCACCCCCTTCCACGGCGGGCTGCGGTGCGGCCGTGGCGGCGTCGGAAGGGCTCTGCTGCTTGAAGGAAGCGCGTCGCCGTGGAAACGTGGGAAGGCGTCCTAACAGGCTGACCACACACTGCTCTTTATCTATCCATCTTCATCCTAGTCCTATCCTCTCCTCTTTATTCACACATACATGCACTACGTAATCACACATGTCGGGAGCTTAGAGCTTGTCCCAGCCGGGAGGGGTACCCTCTGTGGGAGATATCTAGGGGAACACCCCGCAAACCGATGTAGGTCGGCGCCGGACCTCACCAGCCAGAGGGGGAAGATCACTGCCACTTCCCGCGATGAAACCACACACTACACTTACGGGACATAAGCAGTTGTCGCGCACGGGATCATTAATAAAAAACCCGCCCCCGCAAACATTCATAGCAGTTATTGTCCCGGAGCCACTAAAACCCCGAAGGAGGCGAGAGCCCCCAGCTGACAGCGCGTGCGCGCGCGCCGTGCGAGCAGGTGCCGTTCCGGCTGGTGACGTGCGCGCTGGCGGCGGGCGTGGACGTGTGCGCGCTGTGCGGGCCGTCGCCCTCGCTCGCCGAGGCCGAGCACACGGCGGCGCAGTGCTGGCGCGGCGCCGTCGACCTGCTGCGCGCGGCGCAGCTCTGCTGCCCGCGCAACCTCGCGCACGCCGTGCAGCTGGACGCCGGCATCATGGGGTGAGAGGACGCGCCATCACCTGCCGAGTCTGTAGCGCGGGCGCTCTGCACCCGCGACCCCGCGGAGGAGAGTAGTCGCATGGGGGAGAACAGTTTGCTATTGCCTCTTGGGGAAGAACGAGGGCGCCGTGACATCGAATGCCATGGTGTCCAATAAAATGAAAGAGAGGGAGAAAGGGGGAAACAGAGAGAAGTAAAATGTAGAGGAAAGAAAGGGGCGAAAAGGAAGAGAGTATGGGGAGAAGAGTGATGAATGAGAGGGGGAAAGAGGGGAATGGAGTAGGGAAAAAGAGTCGGGGAGGAGAGAAAAGAAAGAGCGAGGGAGGAAATAATGAAAATATGAAGAGGGAAACAGGGAGGCGAGAAAAGAGAGTTGGAGGAAAGAGAGAGGAAAAGGGGAGAGAGGGAAAGAGAGGTGGAAAGGAAGATATAAGGGGGAGAGAGGGAAAAGAAAGAGATTAGGGGAAGAGAACGGGGAAATAGTCAAAAAGACGGAGAGAGAAGAAAAGAGGGAAAAAGAGAATGAGGAAACGGAAGGGGGGAAAGAAAAGTGAGGGGGAAAGAGCGACGGAAAAAGATAGCAGGGGGGAAGAGAACAGCGAAGAGAGAGAGATAAGAGAAGGGCGATGAGAGAGAAGTAAAGAGGAGAGAAAAAGAGAGTAGGGGAAAAGTGAGAGGGGGAAGAAGTAAAAAGACAGCAAACAGGGGGTAGTAAAAGTGATAGGGAAAAGAAGTAAAAGAGAGAAGAAAGTAAAAGGGGGAAAGAAGTAAAGAGAGTATGGGAAAGCGAGAGGGGGGAAATAAAGAAGTAAAGGGGAGGAAAATGAGAGTGGGGGAAAGATGAGAGGGAGAAAGGGAAAACAGAGAGAAAGGAGAAAGTGAAAGAGAGAGGGGAAGAGAAAGAGGGAAAGAAAGAAAAAGGGAAAAGAGGAAGGGAGAAGAGAGAGAAAAAACAAAGAGGTAAAAAGCAAGGTGGAAAAAAGAGAGAGGGGAAGGGGAAGAGATGAAGAATGTCCTTCTCACTTGTTTTTGTTGAATGTAATCACAAACAAAGTATTTGCTTTAATGATTTAGGACAAATGTGGAACTTTTGAGTTGATAACTGTGAATAAATTTATTTTGATTGAATATTTAACCTATGTGTGCTTTTAAGCTACACATAAATTATTACAATCAATTGAAGTCACTCTAAGGGGGAACTCTCAGCTTTTCCTCCACTTGTGTGTTAATCATCCATATCTCTCAGCGCTCTTGTGGGGAGAAGAGGAAATGGAGCTATATTACAGAAGGGGAGAATCTCCTTCTTGAACTGACATCTATTTGCATATTTTTGAAGCAGAATAATGCACTAATGCGAGTCATGTATCACTCTTGTAGGCCAGGATCAGACCATAGGTTCAGGAGTAATCTAACTATTGGGGCTGATGGAAGTCATGGGAAAATTGAACTGATAAATCTTTCTCTTTTGCCCTATCACAATTTGACACATTTAATTTAATTTGTTGTATTATGTTGAATTTGAAGAACTTACTTTAAGCAATTGACTTTTTTCTTTCTTTTAAGAAACATGCTCTTGGAAATGCTCATGTAAGAAATAAGGCAGAATGCTTTTTCGGTTTGCCCAAAAACTGTTTCATTTATCACAGGGATTGATCTAGAAGTTATAAAATGATTTTACATTGTCCTGTAGGTAATTTCTGGTGTGGAGGGCAAAGTGCAGCAAATATTCTCTATGTACTATTCTAATCTGACAATTGGACTACTGTAAATTGTTTTTTCTTTCTTTTTAGTTTCCTTTAAGTGTTAACAAAATGTTTTGTCATTGAGTATAAGTTATTATATTGGTATTCTTGCCTATTGGACTTCCTTCTAAAGAGAAACTTACAATAAATTATCCACTACTTTCAGTACAAAAATATCTCAACTATATTTTATATTTGTGAATAGTCATTGTATTTTTTAATTGATATATATTATATTGAATATTTTATTTTGCAGGATACTTTTGGTAGATCATTTGAATGGAAAATTTTTGTTGAGTGGCAATCAGCTGCAATCTGATAGCAAAAAGGATGTGTACCGATTGGACATTCTTTGCACATTTTACTACCAAGGAGCAGGGATGCTGTGGAAAAACTCAGGTACATAAATATAAAATATTAAAAATGTGTACAGTAATTATTACAAAATGGATACATTCTGCTTCTGAATACATTCTTGTATTGTGAAACACAATAGATCCCATTGCTAATTTTTAGTTAAGAAATTTAGTATCTTTAAAGAAGCCAAAAAGTGTTAGGACCTTATTGTTGGGGTGGCAACATTTGAATGTCATACAACTGTCCACAAACATCAGATAAGAGCTTGTGCACTCGTTATTTGGTTGCTGTAAGCATTCAATCAGTCAATATTAACATTTTGTTACCCTTGTTCTAAATCATTGCCAGAGGGGAAAAATTAATGCTCTTGATTTTGTTTCTATGAAGAGAAAAAAGTTTGCTAAAACTCATATTGTACTACTGGAAAATCATATACTTTATAAATTTAGGCAACAGGAATAAACTTCTTTCTATGGCAGCTTTAATGTAATTCTTACTTTTCCAATTTGTTGATGTGCAAGCAAGTATTTCGACTGCATTTTTGATGCACATACACATCTCTGATCATTTTAACAGCAACAGATGTGCCATTTCATCTCCAAAGTGAAATTCATTCTCTTAGGTATTGCACCTACTGGTACAATGTGTACACAGTGTTAAAAGCATGCAAATTAGAAATTATGTAGTTGTTATTATGTTTATTGCATTATATGTTGTAATTATATTGTTGAGATCAGTTTTGATTTTAGAAGTGTAGAATAGTGCCTAACAGCCCAACAATGTTCATGTATAGGAGCTTAATACCCTTGTGTCTCCACAAATAAACTGCTTAGACCCCTCCTCCTGAGGCATGAAATGCTTCTCTGTCTTTGATGAGTCATTTCAGGGACATCTTGTATCTGTCTAACTGATGCTTAAGAAATGCAAATTCAAATTGTTTTTCTTATAATTTTGCTCTCTTCTGATTTTTGCAGGTACATCCAAAGCCGTGGAATCCTATTGGTGTTCAGAATATCACAAATGCCATGCAATGCAACAAGGAAACACACTGTTGTGTGTATTATATGCTGCTGCAGTTCCAACAGATACTATGAGGTATATTATCTTGAGTGGTGTGAAGTATGTCAATCTATCTCACAAGCCATGTCATTGTCAGCTCATGTCAGTTGCACAACCAAAAATATTTGTTATTTAAATTTATAATATTTACTTATGTAATATGCATGTTTCATTTTTACAATTACTTTCGTGAGTCATAAACACATCACAATTTTCTTGCGCTCACTGCAAATCAGATATGAGTATATGCTCCGCGCTTGGACTGCAAGGCTAGTGCTTTACTCCACATAGCTGCCTGGGAGGCAGCTTGCCAGAGAGTAGGTAATGACAAACCGATGGCTGCAGGAAGAGAGTTGTGTATAGCTCCATGTTGTTATACAACATTTCAGGGGAAGCAGCTCACAATCTAAGACCACACAGAAGATGTGAATAACTTGCAGAACACTTTCATGCATGTGGTGTGCTCCGTGGGCTGATTTCAAGATCCAAGAGAGCAAGGGTGGGCATTTAGCATGAGAGAGCTGTAATTCTATGCAGCAAATCTGTTGTGTTTTATACAAATTTGTGTCATTGTCATTTAAACTGAAAACTTACAAATATTAAAAGAGCAGAGTTCATAAAACATTTACTCTAAAGTTTGCAAAACTTTAATAACACCAATGCTTTATGTTCTCCATGACAGGAAGAGTGCTTCCTATCCCTTTAATCATGAGGGAGTTCTTAGCTTCTTTCAATTATTTGCAGGAGAGAATATAGGTCATCAGTGTCTCGCCTTCGCTTGGATTCATTGTCTGGGACACTGGAAGGGTTGTCTCACCACATTAATGTGAACCACCAACTTTTGAACCCCCTATTGAGACACCTCTGTTTCACCTGCTATTCAACTCTCAAGCCACTACTAATCAGACTAAAGTGCCATCTTGAACATGAATTCACATTTTGCCACTGGTTTTAGAAGTTGTCCATGGTCCTCCAATTACAGTGTGTCTTATGCAAAGGTTTCATGTTATTTCCGGCTACTAGGCCTGGCAGTCTCAGCCCAAGCAAATGATGGTGCACTCAATGTTCTGGCCATATGCACAAAATTCAACATACATGGTGATTTGTTGTCTGCTTTTATTATTAATTTTCATTGCTAGAATGTAAGTTTTTTATTACCATTTACTGGCAAAATTAGCCACACACTTTTCTATTTATTATCTCTACATTATACCTTCAGGTAGTCCTTTCATTAAAGCATACATTGGTTGTTGGCCCTCCGAACTTTGAGAGAGCATTTTATGGAGGTGTGTGGGTTTCATGAACATTGACAGGGAAATGTGTATATCAATCATTTTTTAAAACTAAGTTTGCTGTTATATTGTACATAAATTTCTTGTCTGTGGGGATAACTGACAGCACAAGTATAATGTTAAAGAATATAATTGATGATTCATTCATAATGTAAAGGAATGAAGTAGATGTATGTTTCTTACAATCATATTGATTTTTAATGCGATTCGTCTTGTTTTCAGACACATAACTAAGCAGTCTTTCAAGATCCTCACAACAGACAAGCAGATGTGTTGGTGAACTTCACATACAGAACTGATTTCCAATTATTCAGCTATGTAAAAATTTCTTGAGAGTAATTTCACAAACCAAAGATATAAGTCTTTGTAGTGAAATTTGTTCGGTTTAGAGAATATGCCTGTAAAAGGTTGACAAAGAAGCAATGGTGCAAGTCAAGATGAACTTGCTTAAGCCTACTTGATCAGCAATTGCCTGAGTTAAGTGCATAAAATTAAATAAACATCCACTCTGGCAGTATTTTGCGTGCCACCAATTTGAGTATTTCTGTACACGGGCCTGGGTGAGGCAAGAAATATAGTTAATTCAAGTTAATGCAAGAAGTATGATTAATTCACAAATTTGTCACATAGCTTGACAGTTCGGGTAAATCTATATGAATGACAATAAAGGCATCTTTTCAAACATCATCTGGCTAATGTTGGCATTAGCCAGAGGGCACTGGCTGTAAGATAGTAGTCTGAATATTATTTTGTGTGTTCATGAAAAGTATTTTGGTTAAAAAAATGCATTTGAAGTTGCACAGACTGAAGTTTTTATGTAAATAGCAAAGGCAGAAGCGTCAATTGATGTAATCAATGAGGAGAGGTTAGGTGATATCGTGTCAAGAGACACTGACAACTGACTCAGTAGACTTCGCAACTACACATCATGTTTGCCGCTAGTTGCAGAAACTTCTCACCAGCCCAATGATCTGTTAATTACATAATATCGACTATTTCTCATCACCAGAAAGTTCTTCACATACCCTGTCACCTCAAGTTGGCTAATGTTCATTGGTTTGGCCCACTGTACAGCCTTGGGCTTTCTTTCTGGGTTCTCCCACTCCTCATGAGACGAAGCCTCACAAATAAGGCTGTCTACTCATACTCGCAGATGAGCAGTCTACATTTTGTGTTGTATCTGTCCATATGGGTGGTGGGAGACCAGGATGAAGGGTTGTTGTTCCTCGTACGTTAAGAACAATGGTAGGCATGAAAGAGCTACACAGTTTGTTATCAAACCAATGATGTTTACTGTTATAAAAAGTCTTCATTCATTTATTTTTTTAAAGATTTATTTTTCTTTCTTTGAAGCTTAAACGTAAAACTTGGCCTTGCTTGTCTACCACAAGATTAAGTTCTCTATTGGGAAACTTGAAACCTTAAATGATGGTACCTACTCAATATTCCAAAAAAGACAATCTTTAATTTTAAGACAGATTTTTTAAAGATTGACAATGACTTAATTTTGAAACTACCAAGACTGTTGTAGTTGCCAAGATGTGAGTCAGTTCTGGAAGAATAAATGATGATGAACTTGTTATAACTTATTTATGTAAATAAAACATTGAAAAAGTATTCATTTTGACTCCAATGATTAATTACTCCAACTCTCATGGAAGTCTGTGCCAACCAAACCCACAAGTGTTTCGGACATGAGGGTTTGGTTGGCACATTTCTTCACAGCATGTGTGTTTGTGTGCATGCGTGTGTGTGTGTGTGTATATATTATTTATTTGAATAAAAGGAATTGTGAGGTCAGAGAAATGACATAATTCTAGTAAAACCATTAACACATACAAACATCTCTTCTGTATGGACACAATTTTATTTGTACTGAGTTACAAAACAAAACAAAACTACAATTATCCCCAAAACGTATTCAGATCATTTAATAACAATATTTCGTATATCATGGTACTTTTTTACATCAGGAACATGCTTTATGTACATTTATACAATTGCTTTTTCTAACTAGTTTGATTTTTTTGTAGATATAATAATTAAGTAACAAAACAAGCAGAAATTTAAATCCAAAGAGTGAGAGTTTTAATGCAGTGATCATAAAATTGTGCACATAATACAGCCAAGTAAGCTGAATGTGAGTGTGTACATCACATGCATAGATCTAACTACAATAGGGCAGTCATGACATCGCTTGGCATGTATCACGGGTTCAATTGCTGGATTATCTGACAGGCTCGGATTATCATTTAGTTTCATCACCCCTTCCAGAGTTATCAAGTAAACTCTGTAATCAAGAAAGGTAAATCAAGAAGCCTAATAGAAACTAAAGCTGGTCCCAAGCTGAAGGAGGGTTGCAGATTGAGCTAGTTTATACCTTTAATATCATTTTTATTTTTCCATTGTACGCGATTCCTTTGTACTAGATAAGGTTAAAATATGATAACTTTAGAATGAAAAAAAAATAAATTGAAAAAAGGTAAAAATAAAAACCATAGATGAATAATCAAATCTTGGAAAATCAAAAGTCACACAATAATAATGTAGATAATGAAGGGAAAAAACCCAACATAAATGGGTGTAATTTTAAGTCATTTCATGGGAGAGGAAAGGGAAGAAACTAAAATTATTTCAATCCAAAAAATATGAAATTAAATTTATTAAAGTTATTTAAAGATTTGTGTGCTATTTTATTAATTGTTACATATTCTAAAAAACTGAGTGCATGTCCGGTTTTGAAATCATTGACATAGTTATCGCACTTACGAAAAATTGGCAGTTTCTAGTTTTTATTATCAACATATCTGGTATGCTGGATAAAAGAGAGAAAATTCCTTAAGCCTTTGAAGATAGCAGGGTGTCAGAACCAAAGGAAGATCCTGCAGAGGCCAAGGAGACAATCTTTCCTCCATCAAACCTTTTTTTGTAATGTATTGATAACAATTACCAGATACTGATTGAATCATTTTCATTAACCAAACCACATATGAAGGAAAAACATATACTAAAACTGAGCAATTTGTTTGGAATTAATAGATGGGGTGTGTTTCAAACAGAAATAATCGCCCTCCCCCAATTTCAAATGAAGCACTAGTTAGATCAGTCTTGCATTGTACAGCATGAGGAAGAATGGAAATTTTGCAAGGTGGAAAATGTTAAGAACTTGTTACATGTGGTTAAGTGTTATGAACATGTTGAAGAAAGTGTGAGAACAAGAAAGGGCCGAGTTTAAAATTTGAAAAAAGAACAATTCTGAATTCAAAATACAATAGAGAGGGTGAGAAGAAATAATGAATGGAGAATGCACCTTCTGGGATGAAATACAAGTTCTAATAACTGGCAGAAACCACTTTCTGGAAGGATAGTGAAGCCTTGAAAAATCAAACAATACTAAAGAAGAAGAAATGCTTCCATTATAAGATCACTTTACTGAGAAAATAATATGTGCTGCTGGAACACATCAAATGCATAAATAAAACCAATAAGATTCATATTGAATACACCAAGTGCAATAAGAAAACAAACTAAACTTTTCATTGTTTTCATAAATAAGCATCATGAATGTTTGGCAATATGGATGGCAAAAATTGAACTCCTCTACACTGTTGATGAAATCAACTGAAAAATAAAGACTTGCTAACAACATAATCTGAAGAAATTTCCATTTCAAAAGATCAGAAAAAGTGAAGATTCTTCTGTTTCAATCACAACTTTCAATTTAAAATAATTAAATTTGTAAGTTAACAAACAATATGGCTTTTACCAGTACTGCAAGGATGAATTTACCTTTTTTCCACAGGTGCCATGATGCTGCTTCATTGAACTAGGCCATACTCTCACAATATTACACTGAAATCAGAGCCATGAGCAAGACATACCTACTGAACAATCTCCTTACAACCACATCCCGGCATCTTTGGATCACTGATGAAGTCTACATATTTACAATTGCTATGGAGTGATTAACAACTGTCGTTCAGAAAATCTGCAATAGTTATGAAGTGTTGTAGCTTTAGGGTACTTCTTATTTGTAAGTTGGGATGGCTTCGTGTATGATTTGGATGTTTCGCCAAGCATTGAGTTTTCACAGAAGACTAATTTGAAACCAAGGCCCGACTACTTTTTATACATTTATTTGCCTAGGGTACAAAGACTGTTCTTGACAGCTGTTATTTTTTGTATGATTACCTACCACCACTCAGAAGGTTTCTTCTCATTCAAAACGATATTAGAGTTTTAATTCCTGAGAAAGTTTTTAGTTTATTGTTAAATATTAATACAAGTGAGTCTTCCCAAGTTATTATAGCCAGTTACAATCCCATAGAGGGCAAGAGTCTCGGTTTGCCAAATGAGTTACAAAGTGAATTAATGAATTGAATTAATGCATTTTACGTGGCGAAGCTCGGGCCATCAGGCTCGCTCTTCTGTCTCACCACGCAAATTTCACTAAACTCCCTTCACCAACTAGCGAAGAAAGGAGGTATTTCTTGAGCATATGATACAGGCGATTTGAATTTAGCTCAGAGACATCATTTAGGCTTGAGGATTCTTTTACATGCAAGTAAATCTACATGGGACAGCCGGCTTCACTTCCCCTCCGAAGGAAGGCGTACAAAGGATTTTTTTCGCCCTTAAAAATCCATGGCGTCGATCGGGATTGAACTAGCCAACTTGGGTACAGTGGTAGAGTTCCTGAGCAGCAATTCGGGAACTTCTTCTCAGGTAACATATCTCAATTCAAAATGATTTTGACTTAAACAGTTTCCAATGATCATCGATGGTTCTGAGTTTAGTAGTGCTGGCTATGAGTGACACTTTACTTACACCCTTGCTACATGTTCATTTAAGGCATAAAAATACAAAGCTCAAATCAAAACAAAAAATTACTCGATACAAAACAAAAAGTTACATTTTGAGATTCAAGACTTTGTTATCTTAACAATATATCAAATAATACATGTATGTACACATATACATTTACATACACAATACATGTAAATACATGTTATACACATGAATGTTCAACTGACAGCTAAATATGTACTTATAAAATTGTGAAAATACAAAAATAATGCAAAAATCAATATTTGTATACTAAAATTTCAAAATTAAATTTCAACTTTTAAGTAGAAAATTCAACAAAATACCAACTAATGCATTTATTGTAATATTTTTAAATTATATGATTTAGAAAAAACATCTCTTTTAAAAAAACAAGGAAATGATATGTTTGGAATGCACATTCTCCATTCATTCTGCATTTACTCAATATGAATAATTGTTTTTTGTATTCACTCACGAGCCATTACAATCTTGTAACCTTTGGTTCCTTCCCCAGACTTCACAAATTCCAAGACAGTTTCAAAAGAGATTACTTTATGGACGTTTGGCCTGAAACAAAACATCAAAAGACACATTACACACGATACAATAATAGGAAATAATTTAGTATATGTGTTTTCATAATTAGAAACATGTGGCCTAAACTCATAAAGGTTTCTGAATCCAAAAAGCATGTTTGGACACTTAAACACCATATTTAGTGCAAACTTGTGAATAGGACAAGGAAGAAGAACATCAGTATATGATGAGACTACAACATTGTTTTCCAGCAATAAAACAACTTGAAACTTTCTCACATTCTATTTACCTTCAGACACTAAAATGCATACAGACACTGTGGGCCTCTCCACAACTTGCAGATTCAGGACCATCATTGGCACGAGCAATGCTGTAAATTCTACATTAAGCAGTGATTTAAAGTATTCACCTTACAATTCCGGATGCTACTTTTTCCATAATATCCATTAAGATGTGCTGATAGCGTCCCTGCTGAGCATTAGACATCATCCAGGCCTGCTCGAATAAGAAGCCTAAAGTAGCACATCGTAAATAGAGAAGCCGGGAATTAGGAGGATCCAGCTGAAAATTAAAATTTTTTTCTAAATACAGAGAAATTACATACAGAAAAATTGAAATGAGGATACAAATGACCAAAAGTCTACATTCACATTCTATGTGCAAATATATGTTCAAGGAAATTACACTTCAATATCACAGATATACACTTGGGTATCATTACAAATTTTCAAACAAATCTGTCAAATAACTTATTTCTAATTAATTGCCATAATTTGGAATTAATTTCTACACATATTCGTAGAGGTAATGGGCATGAGGTGGCTTGACGCGATGCCAGGACACACAAGTTAAATTCTAATCTTAGCTCGAAGAAAATGTCAAATAATTTATAGCAAATTAATTGCCACAGTTTAGAATTGATTGCTACACTTTTTCGTTGAGAAAACGTGTGTGACCTGGCTTGACGCGGCGCCACGAAAATCGCGAAACGCGGCGCCACGAAATTAATTAGCAATAAATTACTTGACAGTTTCCGTCGAGCTACGGACTGAAGTTAACTTATGTGTGTGCTGGCGCCTCCTCAAGCCAATTCACACCCGTTTTCTGAACGAAAATACGTGACAATAAATTCGAATTTGTAGCAATGAATTAGCAAAAAATCATTTGACAGTGAACGGCGACGATTCGAAAATAATGTTTTGTGCTCGGAGAGCATGTGCTGGCGTCGCGTCAAACCAGCTCGAATCCATTTTATCAACGAAATTGCGTGGCAATTAATCCGAAAATAGGCAATAAATTATTTGACAGTGTCCCACCCTCTACGGTTCGAATTTATCCTTGTATGTGATGGCGTATTAGAATTTAACTTGTAAGGCGTCGCGTCAAACCATTTCCTTTTTCAACGAAAATGTGTGTTTCCAAAAGTCCGAGTCGTCGTTCAAATTGCTCTTAAATTACACGATCACATTATCTTGAAAGATACCGATATGAAGTGTTCATATCACCAGAATAAATGCTTGGGTCTGCACTTAATAAACATTTCTTTGTCGAATCTATTAATATCATGCGGGCGTGGATCCACGGGGAGGGAAATTTCACCCTTAACATTTTTCAGTAATATCAAATTTAAATTGTTACAAAACATTCAAGCAAAATTATTTTCGGATAATCATTAAAATTAATAAAATTGTATCGCAGCATGACCTGAGTGTGGCAAACGACATATTACAAAATTTGTAATTTGAAACATTCGATTGACATATTTTTAATTTTCTCTCCCAAAATTGTCTCTAGATCCGCCCCTGTTTCGTGAATGGTTTTTATTCGGGTGTACTGACATGGCTGTTCCAGCTAGACACACATGTGTATCTGTGAACCTGTGTTGTTGCTCAAAGGATTGACGTAAAATGAATCTGAAACCAGGTATCTCACACCAGCCAGACACCACCCCGGCCGGGACAAGCTCTAACTTCCCGACCGGTCTCCCGGCATGTGTGGTGCATGTTAATGTAAGTGTATGCAAGGGATGAGGATAGGACAAGGAAAAGGTAGGAAAGATCTCGCACGCGGTTTTTTTGACCGTTTGTAAGGGTACTGCTCCAGCAATCGCCTAGTGTTGATCGGAGAAACCATGGACAACTACCGATCAGAGCGGCCGGCCGCTTGTATTCTTCTCCGAACAGCGATTGAACTCGACCTATCTGTCAAGCTAGCCAAAATCCTGCCACCGTCTCGGACTCGAACCAAGGACCTCCCGGTCTGAGGGATTGCAGTGACATCAGTTGATGCCCTGAGCCAGATGATTGGTTGGACCCGAGGGAAGGCGAGAAAGGTGGTTTGCGGACTTATGTCCACGCTGTTTCTAGGGAATCACATATTTATCTTCGACTGGATGGATAATGGTAGGGGCGGTCATGAGTGGTGAATAAAAAAGGAGTGATGGAGTGATGTTACAGAGGGAACATGTGGTGTTACGAGAAGCCAGTCACGTTATGATCAGATGGTGGAAACATCAATGCTTTACGTGACCTGAGCCCTCAAGCCGTCGGTGCCGCTTACTGGGTGTTGCGCAACAGAGGCAGGCAAGTCGCAGGTTACAAGTTACAAGTCACAAGTTACAAGTTACAAGTCACAAGTTACAAGTCACAAGTTACAAGTCACAAGTTACAAGTCACAAGTCACAAGTCACAAGTTACAAGTCACAAGTTACACAAGTTACACAAGTTACACAAGTTACACAAGTTACACATTTGTTACACACAAATGTTCCTTACCTGCATATCTGCCCTCGAAGTAACCCAACGCCCACCAACAGCCAGGCAAGATATCACATCGTGCTTTGTTGGAAAGTACTTAACAGAGCTTAACCTATTGTCACTATCTGATATGATGTTTTGCTGAAAAAGAAAAAAATTATGAGAAAGAAAAAAATATACTGCAATATAGTTTAATTTCTTAACTCAAAGAACTGGCATTTTAAATATATTTATGTAAATAATTAAAAAAATGCATAAAATAATTAAAACTGCTTGTTTCTGAAACGGCGTTTTCGCCATGGTGGCAGTAATGTACATCAATTTGCTTAAATCGTGATTTAAATAAAATATTTTAATAAATATGTAACTTAATTCAATAAACAAAACCTCTTTCTAATTTTTACCAAAATTTTTCTCAGTTTGCGCTTTTTTTTAGGGGCTACCAGAATTTTATTTTATGCAACGCACAAATCAATCACAAAAATGCGCAGTATCAACTTGTAACACTAAGTGAACTTTGGATCACGAAGAAGTTCTAGAATGTTCTCCTAATAGGTCATGCAAGACACAAGCTAGATAAGTTCGTAAGATTATTTACTAAATTGCGCGTCTACCACTATGCGTGACATTCTGCCTAACACAAATGTCTTTACAATTTTGTAATATTCTTCATCGCCATAAAATTAATGGTCCGCAGAAGCAAAAATGTTGCTGAATACAATCACGCAAAATCTGTTTTACTTGTATCCAATGCGCGCAGAAATTGAAGGAAAAAAAAACAATCAAACAAAAAAACAAAATAAGCAGCCTCTGGCCAAGTGAGAGACGTCTATTGTTTCATTAGATGCCCAGAAAGTCGGGAATAATAGAAAAAAGTTTGAATATCCACTCAAAAGAACAAAAACTTTATATTGTTATTCCACCTACTCTAATACTGCACACACATTTTCATACCAAGTGTATCACTGCTAACGACACACCTGATGCCATGCGGCATAAAGTTTCCAAGGAAGAGTCCGCCTGCCATTAAATGTGTTCTTCACGTGTTTCATTATGGAACAACAACTTTTTAAAAAAATTCTTGGCATGCGCAGAACTGTTGTAATGTATACATACTGTACTATGTTATTGCAGTAGTCTGTGAATTCTGTTTATGTTCGGAAGCTCCATAGCTTCCTTTCGATTTCTGCATGGGGAGGAGATATAGATATGCAATTTTGTATCCGAAAATTGATTTGTATTTATGGACGGATCGATAGATGGGTAGATCGATGTGTCAAGCATAACTCGTTAGATTAGAAGCTTTTGAGATGTAACTTGGTAAATACGATAGGAATTACATCTAATTGTGCCATTTGGGAGATCATTTAGATATTTTAATTGGAGGAGGGGACTTCACACGCAGTTCCTAAGACATTTTCAATATTTTCTGGAAAAGGCTGTAATGTTTTCTTGAAACTTTTTGTTCATACAGAAGAAAGTGCATTTATAAGTATGGTATGTTTTATGGCTATTATTAACCGTTTTTTGTATAAACCCAAAATTTTAATAAAATCATAAAGTTAATGGATTGAAGGCGCATCTACCGTCGTTGGATGATTATTTCATTGTGCGAGTTGTAACCGATATATTGAAAGCATCCGATATTTACACCTCGATAAAACATATGGGCGTAAAATTGTTGGAGAAGCTAATACAGAGAGTTTTAGAAGAGTTTTTTAACCAAAAAAGGAAAAAAATCATTGACTACAATGCTATGCAGTGGTGACTGGTGCCCCAATAAGCTGGGGGTTGCAGCTCCAACTAATGATGAAAATGCAATTTATGAATATGTATTATCTCCTACTGCTTTATATTTTTTTATCTTGTGTGTTTATTACCGAAGTTGTTAATTTTGTTGAGCGTAGCGAAGTTGGTGAATATATTACATTGGGTGTGGGGTAAAAAATTGGCGAAGTGATGTTTCGTGATTGAACACCAGTGCAGGAGTAGTGTAGGCGAAGTTAATGTGAGTATTTGTACATCCAACATGGATGACACGACTTTGCCGGGCACGAGCGGTGAAACTTCTGACACATGCGAATGGGCGCAGGAAGAACCCCATTGACACTGCTGCAACAGTTGCAAAAAACGTCTCTATGAAAAAAAAGACTCTAAAGTGTCGGCTCCTGAGAACGATTTCGTATAGTTTCGCACCGCTCAAAATTACGCAAAGGTGAAAAAGAGTCAAATTTTTCACACACACACACACACACACACACACAAATAATATAAATATTTAACATATGTAAATTAAAAAAATGTGCATTCTGTAGGTAATCTAGGGAACCATGGATCAACACACTTCTGCGACGTATTAGGTAATACGACAGCTTCCCTTTGAAAGAAGATAATCCTACGTTTCTGCTGGTAATTATATTATTTTTGGATTCAGTACTGTTGTTAGGGCGGTCTGATATTTCATATTCATTCAGACTAAGAAGCTTACTTAAACGTCTCCCCTATCCATTTCTTAACATGCCAATTGCGAGGAAGATTTTTATTTTCCATAGTATAAACCATTTGTGTTAATAGGGATGTTAACCGACCATTTTTGAATTAATTCGTACTGAATTTTTAGCAACCTTTTTTTAAAATAAAACTGACTAATCACTTTGCTTGTGTACTAAACGTTTTTTTAATTACTAACAGAGTACTGATGGCCAGTAAATACTATTTTAATGATTTAAGTTGCCAGAATAGAGAATCAAATTTCTTTCTACAAACTTTACACTGTTCTCTAAAAGAAATTATTATCTGAGGATTTATGGATTCACGATCGCCAGAACTCTTTTCCCCGCAGCCATTCTTCTCGGAATTCTACTATAAATGAAAAAAGTAAGTTGTCTAACAGCAAGTACCTAGGATCACTGTGCATGACGAGTGATAATAGGAACAAGAGGAAGCTACTTGAAACTAGTGGTGCTAAAACATCACGTACTTTCTCACCCGTACTTGCACAATTTCGCAAAAAGTACTCAAATTTTCGAAAAGTTGTACGCGACCTCCTTTCAAAATCTATCTTTAAGGAAGAGATTTCATTAAGGGAAAAAATCCCTGTCTACATAACAGTAGTTGTAGGAACACTCCGAAAAATGTTTGAACTTTTGCAATTTTCGAAAAATTAGGGTTTTCAACGAGCATGAGATCTCCACCATTCGCTTAAACCTCCTTCACACTATCCAACAAAAAATTTAATCGAAAACGATGGAGCCTTTTTTTATTTGACAAATACCCACGCATCGACATTTTTGTTTCGTTTGTCAAAAAAATAAAGGGCACTTTGTTGCTCAAGTACGCTGAGTATCATTTGTCTCGCATGCACACGCCTTTCCATAACCGCATGGGGTAACTTATTTTCTGACTCATTCATCATTTTACTCACCGCTTAATGAGTTATTAAACCTATTTGAGCGAAGATCCAAATATGATCAGTGAAGACCAGGAAATCGCACAGAAAACACTCGAGTTGCTTTAACTAAACGTTATTTTCTGGAGCCAGAAGGACCTTCTGACACCCGAATATGAAGTAGAACATGGAGATCTAGTATTCAAAAACTGTATCGAAAATTTCTCGTGGTGAGGAATCAACATCGCAAAACTATGTAGTTCAGCTTCCGCACGTACCGCGCTTTCTCGTGTGTTCAAGCAGACTAACAACTCGCGATTCTCCCAAACGTCCAAAGGTTTTTACAGAACACCAAATAATTTCCATACCAACAGTAACTTTTTATTACTGTTTTGTTTATAGTTTTCTCTCAGAACTTTACGCACCGCAACCGCTATTTTATCGGCGAGCGATGCGAGAGGAAATTGTAAACGTCTGGGAGTCATAATTCTCAAGCGACACCGAAAGGGCGTGTTTTAAAATCTGTTCTTAAGAATGAAGAGACTGGCAGGCCATTACATTCTTCGACTGCTGCTTCTTTGCCTGGATTTTCCCAAACTTAGCTTTCAGCAGCGATACGGGCCCTCCCCTGCAGCTGCAATCTCTCCAGGGGCAGCGTGGTATCCTGATTACCTCAAACCTCTTTTCCTCTTATGAGTCTCTCTTTTCCATGAATGTGTTCTTTTCATTATTTGCATCTACATAGGGAATGTTGAATTAAGGTTAGAGAATTGTACTGACATTCTTCGATCAAAAAGCACGTCGCAAAACCGAAAATGTATGCTTTGCAAGAGTCCGTGATCTTGGATGATGCATTTGCAGATCAATCGATATGTGGGTGGAGCACGGCACCGCAGCACTAGCGAAGATCGCCTGCAGCAGCGCTCAAAGTAATTTTAAAAGCTGCCGCCAAGCTCCAAAAAATGTCAAAAAAAATCACGTGTATGGCCTCTGGAATATGATTTCAAAGGCAAACCACCCACAATTAACACCCGACAAAATAATTAGCAAACCGCTATGCCATGTCGTGAAAACTACTTTTTCACACTTCAGTTACATTAAATTCTATCTACAGTTTTGTACTCCTCGGAAGCAGTTCTCATTACCACTGGTTTCCTTTAACATCTGTACGTTCTTCACTGATCTTCTAGACTCCCTACAGTCAGGATCACTGACCCCAGCAAGTCTTCGTATTCTTACGTACAACAGTGAAACGCTTTTCACTTTGCCGAGATAACTGTGAACACACACACTTATCGGAAGTCCCTGGAAACAAAAAAAAATTATGCTTTACTGCCCTGCGCAGGTAGTAAATCTACTGGCTTTCTACGCCCTGCGGACATGCATCTTTCGGGTGCGGCTCATGCGAGAAGTGCGAGGCGGGCGGCCGAGAGTCTGCGTGGCTGCCGGCCAGAGACCGCAAGCTGAAAGCACTACGCAGGGTGGGGGTCACTCCTAGCGAGGTCTACGAGATTTTCTACAATGATGCGAAGTACTGCAAAGGCAAAATCCTTACGAGCGTTGAAAAATGTACGTTTTTTCTAGCAACTTCCTTTTACAACGCTCTTTGGAGAACACAGACTGAAAGAGAATATCACGGGGCAGAATGGTCATGGTTGGATGTGGCTAATTCATCCTGCATTCGACAATAGCTCTAATTATCACTGGTTTCCTTTAATGCATATATATTGAAGACATTGTAACAAGAAATGAGATTTTGATTCGTGAACATTTTTCCTTATTTTTCCTTATGTTTTTAATGTGTCCAAATCGACACGTTCTATCCCATTATGCTCCTGCCACATAACAGGATCATAATATTGTGATGCATAGGCGAATCACGTGAATCAAACACCGGCCTCAACTGCTCAGAAGGGAAATATAAAATCAGGATCACATTAACCTAAAATCAATAAAAGCAGTTGCTTAGAGGTTCATAGGAGGCCCATACGTCGAAAAAAGATAATAAAATTTCGAAAACAGTAACAGTAATAAAAATGCTATCTGTAATCAGTCTATTGCATTAAAAAAGTTTGTATTTAAACATTATTTTTTAAATACTTGATAAATATTAAATTAGTATTTTAATACGTACATTAATATTTGGATATTTTTTATGATAACCTCCAAATGTTTTACGGCCGATTTTACGGTGATAGAAAACATATAATAAGTTTGATTCAACAAAGAATTGGTTAAGTTTCATTTGTATTGTTATAAAATGTTATTCTACTGTAAGAAATTACTGTTTCTTTTTCAGTAAACATGGAGGATTTTTCCGGAGGAGGGCCCCCATAACGAATTTGTGCTTGACCACCCTACAGTACTTAATTAGGATTCGCTCAAGGCAACATTAAGAGCCGACGAATACGTACAAAACAACACACGAGGAATATTTTTTATTTAATTTTTGTTTCTTTCGTAACTATGCTCTAAGCATTTGTTCGGCATTGAACACGGAGTAATTCTCCTTGAACGAAGTCATAGGTCATTAAACACGGAGTAATTCTCTTTGAACATGGTCATTTTCTGATGTCATTGCCTTTTAACCTTTTACAGGCCAGGGGCTTGGCGCCGTTAGTATCCGGGGTTGCAAGCAGTAATTGCGGGCAACGTTTCGCCGCTCGAATCACTAAATAGCTCAGCTGACTGTAGGATGCATTAATAAATAGATGAAGGGGCGGTCGCATGGATAACCACCCTTCCAACTAACTAATCCGACAATATATTATTTTGTTCTTTCGAATAACTCTCCAAATGAAGATGCGGCAATAATTAATAACCTTAATGCAATATTCTGGAATTTTTTACAGAATGTTTTCCTATGGAATATTGTTGAGACGCCACCCACTCCTTTATTGGGGGCCGGGAATCGGCGGAGGATCGGAGCCCTTGGACATGGGGGGCCCCGGCGCGGTGCAACCAGCCTAGCTATACCCCAGATGTCTTGCACCGTGCGAGAGTAACCATACTAATATTGCTAAGCGATGATACTCGAATTGCACAAACAACGAACACTACCTTCAATTTTGTCGTGGCAGATTACATCTGCGTTTTCCCTTCTTATAGATTATAATTGTTTTATTGATTTCGTGTTTCCGCATGTTTCTTATCACCCAAGCCCTGGAGTGGAAGGTACCCAGAAGAACGAAATCTCCAAAAATTTAATAGAAAGTTCAAAAAGGTCTTATTTTGTAAAATTAAAATGATTAAAACACATAATTCGACTCCTGCCTATTCTCCTTAATTTCCCCACTTCTTCCCACACACCTCTTATTCTTTAGAACCACGAAAACCTATATTTCAGGTTTTATGACGCATTGTTTTCAAGTAATGAGCGATTATAATATGTTGCAGTAATCTGTTTTTTATTTAATATAAGCGTGTACAGCCTAAAATGAGAGGAGGGTTACTAAATTTCTGGACCCCCTTATTCATTAAACTTTTTAAATTGTAAAACAATTTTCGGTCTCATTTCGATTTTTTCAAATGTATTTTGGGGCAGTTGTAGGAGAGATTGACTCCACCTTGGCATTATTTCCTTGTAGTTTTGTATATTTTTCAACATTTTTAGACTTTTCGGCCGATTCGTTTGTACTTTTCATTTTATTTTTTTCTATGTGTAGATTGAATCCACTTTGGCCATTTTCTGGGAGGATTACAAAGTTTATTCACGCTTGCGTCTGAAATTCGTCCGTACACAAGGTTCAACTTCCATTTTTTCATATTTTTTGGAAAATTTAATAATTTTTCTCATACTTCATTTCGCATTTTTAATATATTTATTAGGATTTCATAAGTTTAACAATTAAAACAGCCACAAAAAATATTAAAAACAAATTAATTGTTGAAAAACGAGTCAACGATTTAATAACTACCGCACTACACGTACCGATTTTTATAGATACTCAGTAGAAGGCCGACATTTTTCATATTTCACATTACTAAACAATAATATTAAATCACACAGTAACAATATAGCGATTGGGTCTATCCGTTTGTCATAATTTCAATTAATTGTAAAATGTAACTATGGGTTCTAAACATAATTTTTATAAGGGAATTGACATATTTTCAAAAATACAATGTTTTATTTCATAAAAATTGGGGCCTCCTTTCAAAATTTTCAGGGGAGCCATGGCCACCCTTTGCGCACGCCTATGTATGTAATAATCTTCAAATGCAATGCTCATGCAAGAGAGAAAATCCGTATTCAGCAGAACTTCAGGGTTTTGCGTCAATTTCATATAAATTGTCAAAGACCGTTGTTTATCTTAAGCGTATTATTTGTGAAGAGGAGTGAAAACGCCTATTCACAATGCAAACATTAACATAAACATGGCGTTAACATAAAAGTTAGTACTACGTCCATAAGCGGACTCATTCAAAATGCTTAAGTGCTTATGCTTAAGTAAGATATAAGAAATGAACCAATCACAGAACGGTAACTCAAAATCGAGAATCGACATCAGAGCGAAGTCGATAGAAAAGCTAACGCCATATGGGCCATGGACACAGCCGATACCTTGAAATCGATTCTCACATGCAACCAACAGTAAACCAGAATGTCTCACAGCCAATAGAAACTCTTATTTTGCTTACGTTTATGTTAGACATTGTGAATACTTGAGTCTATCATCTATGTTAATGGAAACGTAACCTGACGTCTACATCTTTGATTCTCATTTTAGTACTAGGTATTCCTCACAGATGGAGAGTCAAACAACATTACGAAAAAATTGACGGATTTCACAAAACGTTGCACACTTCGTAAAACTACTTTTCTTAAAAAATCTGATGGTGTGTAGCACGCGCTAGAAATGTCCCACTAGCCATATCACTCGTGTTCGTCAAATGCTATCTGCTATTTCCCGTCACTTTAACACACTTCCCCTGCCATCTTGGTTATCTCGTGTTGGTTAATAGCAATTTCATCCGGCTTAAATCCCTAAGTATATTTCGACTTCCAACTTCAGACTTTAGCTACAGATTTTGAATAATGTGAACCGGTTAATCCTCATTCAGATTCGTACTTAATTAGGTTACACGGTTGTAACTACACCAATTCGTTAAAATAAAATGTAATCGCCAATAATATCAATTTCATAGACACTTCACTAGCATAATTAATTCGCTACCATAAATTTGGCGTGGGTTAATTCATTTTCGAATAATTCTATTCTTACTGCGTCATGAAATTCAGAACGAGTTAGGCTGCTACACCAAGGGCGAATGCAATAAATAAATGCAACAATCACTCTAAGAAAAAGCTTTCGTTTTTAATTTTCGTAAATATTGTATAATTTTTTCACAAATTAATAAAGTTATACAATGCTGCAAAAAAATAGATATGGAGATTTTGACGGAAATTAAAGTTTTAGATAGCAAGTGACATCGAAAAATATTTTTTTAAAGTCTGTTAACACTAGCATCTAAATCGCTATCACAATTTTCATTGAAGTGGATATGCTCCGATCCATCTGGCTCATGACAGGACGTCTCGAATTCGAAATTGATATTTTAATTTTGAGGGGTAGTATACATGTAGCTTCAAAGAGATCTATTTTTTTAATAGCTCCCATTTAAAATGATTCTTTTTTTGAATAAGTACGCTTATAAAAATTCTTAGGTCTGATTTTTAATTAATTCCCATAAACTAAAAAAATTGTGAAAGTTAAAAACTGTTTGCACTTTCTCCTACAACTACATCATTAAAAAAAATATATTTTATCTTAATAAAATCCGTTCTTCGAATCGCCAAATTTATTCAACGCAGAGCGCATCGGGCGGTTTCCTTTGCAGACTCCAGGTCGAACGGACAAAGGTATTCGCTCCCCCCTCTTCCGCGAAAGAACCAGTGATGAAGGCA